GGCAGTCTCTCTCCTGCTGGGCCACACCTCAGGGCTGGAGGCGGGTGGAGGGGGAGGAAGGGGTGATGGCTGGAAAAGTGCCCCGTGTTGACACTAAGCCCTGGTAGAGACCACCTGCTACAGGTCAGGCACATTTCACTGAGCAGGAGATGCCCCTAGAAGACAGGGGGTAGAGGTATAAAGAAAGCCCTTTCCCTGACTGCAAGGAGCCAGAGGGTAGACGGGCACAACAACACTGGAAAGGGGACAACATCAGCCACAAAGGAAGCAGAGAGCAGGGCTCCGGTGGTCAGTCCTGGGTGGGGTCAGGAGTCCACGAGTGATGAGGGCTAAGTCTGAAGACCGGAAGGGCATCGGCAGCCATGGAGAGAACAAGCACAGTTCAACCCCGGGAAGGCAGAGGTCAGGTGGTCTCAGGACCGTGGTCAGGAAGAGATGCCTCACGTGGCGGGGACACAGCGGGAGCAGTTCAGGCACCACGGCTCGTCTGCTGGGGCCCCAGCCTCTCGTTGCAAGCAGTGCAGGTGGACATCTGCCCCAGAGACAGCAGGGAGCGTGTGCCCCAAAGCCGCCAGCACTCGTGCCCTGTGCAGGCGCCAAGGGTCTGGCCCCGGCCGGGGCAGTTCCCTCCTGGGACTGTCCAGGACTCGGACCCAACAAACACGTGAACTGACAGACCAAATCCCTCAGGAGGATCTCTGTGCGGAAGCCATGACAGCCACGAAAAGTGCCAGTCACAAAGTCAGCCTGTAAACGCCACCGTTACCCAGTCTCCATGTCACATTTCACCCACAAATCCCTTCCAAATTGTAACAGTATCTCATAAATGTTTGAGCTTCAACAGAAAGGTCCTTTCCAATGTTCAGATACACAGATAGACTCTGTGGCTGCCTGCGAGCCATCTCCCGGGCCAGCGTGTCCTCCGTCCACCTTCTGGGAAGTGTGCACAGGCGGGGAATCCCATGTCAGCCTCAAGATGGCCTAATGGTCAGTCTCACCTCATCAGTGACAGGCAGGTCTTGATGAGCAACTTGGCTAAGGCCACATAGCTAAGGTGTGGCCCACCAACTCTGAGCCCCACTACTTCCACCTGTCACAAGCTTCCGGAAAGTTCTCTGCAGTGAACAGCTATCAACCCAATTCTGACCAACTGTAATTACACTGTTTCCAGATAACACCTGAATTCTGAGGCAGTTAAAATGCATTGTGTACATATTCTATGTGACTCTCAACAATAGCAAACCAACGTGAGTTCAGTCCAGGAGAACCCAGCCAGGGTGGGCAGCTCTAGCCTAGGGCGTCTTCAGTAGCACCTGCGAGGCTGTCCTTCCCCGGCCTTGTCAGGGATCCAGCTCTATCCACTGGCGCTGTAACAGACGCAGGGCTGCCGGAAATTCCAGGAGTCTAGCCCCAGCTGCCTGTGGCCACCCATGGACCGACCGGCCCAGGCCCCCTGGGAGCGGGATTTCAAAGCATCAAGGAACCAGCCTGGTTGACAAGGCTCCAAACCAGCTGTTTGCCACACACGTCCTTGCACTGCAGGGTTGACCGGTGCAGGCCTCAATCTTCCGTGGGGAACGCTGGGCCACAATGCTGGTGTGCCACCCTGGGGGTCCCTGCCATAAAACAGCGAGGGCTTCTGGCCAGGCTGCTCTGCCCTCTGTCCCAGTGACCCTGGGCATGGTGCCTGCTCTTGGGTCCAGTTTCCTCATCGCATACACAGACGGCAGCAGGCCTGAGTGCAGGAGGCACCAACACCCATGGGCGGCCAGCACTGCCCCTACACACCAAGAACACAGCACCCAGGTCCCACTGCTTAGGCCGGAAACTCCTGTCACATGAGCTTTTACTCATCTGGATTTCGGCCGTTCCTGGGAGTGGCATCTGGGCTGAAGGGATGCTCAGGGTCACATGTACCCGATCACCTCGGGCGGCCTTGGTCCTCCCAGGTACCGTCACGGCCCGAGAACACCACTGCCCAGATGTGAACCGGGTGTCCCGGATACGCAGGCTGCACAGCGACGTGAATGAAGGGCAGGGCTGAACTCCAGGGCAGATGGACACTCGCTGCACAGCCAGGCCGGAGGCTGACCCTGCTTCCTCGCTGTCCACTGGGGGCAGTGACGTTGTCACCAGGAGGTCGGCACCGGGCAAGGTGCTACTTCAGCATCTGCTCAACACAGTAATCGCACTAGGGACTGGAGTCCACACGTCAGGATGACAGGTGTGTCTTCAACTCTGAGCCCTGTGAAAATGCCGCTTTCCGCTAACACCACACTCCGGCTCCCACAGCACAGCAGGGCATGGCAGACACCCCAGGATGCCCGTGGTACGCACGTCTGTGTGCAGTAAGCACACCCCCAGCACCTACACACCTCGGTGGCAGCACACGGAAACACTCCGGCCCACGGGGGGAAGGAGCCAGCCCCAGGACGGACGCAAAGTCAGGCTGAATGCAGAGGCCTGTCGCTGGCAGCCGGCCTCTCCGTGTCTAGCTTCGAAGCTTCCCCGACAGAGTAAGCGTTTCTGTGTTCTCCTGATCTACACATTTTTACTATGTCTGCTGAGACAATCTGCCTAAAGGTAACCCTGCCTCAGTTCAATGTCTTTTAACAAGGGGAGTTTCCACAGAATACATTTGATTATGTGTTTAATTACAAGTGTTCAATAGCTACAAACATTGTAAAATTCAGTATCAAGTGAACTATTTGGAGAGCCCCTATGGTAACTTGGAAAAACCCTGGGATTCTGAGGAACAGGAAGGAGCGCACGGTCCCAGTAAAATCCAGAACTTTCTAGAAGGAGATAAATACAGGATGACTGCCTGCTTGCCCTGGGTCAGCTCAGCCAGAAAACCATGTCCCTGGAAGATGGGAAACTGGTTCCTTGATACTGCAGAAACACACTGATTCTACCCTAAACATACAAGATAGAAGAACATGCATATGTCAAGGAGAAATGTTCAATGCTGGGCACCAGGCTTAAAATATCTGCTTGACCCAGTGGCTTAAAAGTGGTTCCTTCTGAATTGAACAGAGAATCCCTGCAGAGATCAAAGGAGTCTCAGCTCGTTTGAAAGAGTCTGAGCTGGTTTTATGAAGCTGTGCTCAGGAGGCAACGCCGCTGGGACTTCCCGCTGTATCTCAGGCTCCCCTGTGGAAGGCCTATTAGAGCCTCACAGCTTCGCTTTATCTCTGCTTCATCGTTTGCTAAGTGACAGCCCAACATTTAGAACGACTGTTTAATACTGTGGAGGGAAAAGCAACCTGGGAAGAACTACATTTTAAAATAATTGCAGGCCGGGCACGGTGGCTCACGCCTGTAATCCCAGCACTTCGGGAGGCCCTGAGGTCAGAAGTTCGAGACCAGCCTGGCCAACATGGTGAAACCCCGTCTCTACTAAAAATATTTTTAAAAATTAGCCAGGCGTGGTGGTGCACGTCTGTAATCCCAGCTACTTGGAAGGCTGACACAGGAGAATCACTTGAACCCAGGAGACAGAGGTTGCAGTGGGCCAAAATGGTGCCACTGCACTCCAGCCTGGGCTGAAGTGAGAGTCTGTCTCAAAAATAAATAAAATAAAATAAAATAAAAATAATTGCTTTAAAGAAAGAGAGAGAGAGAGAGAGACCGAGTTGAAGCCAATACTGCAATCCCACAGGAAACCTTGTAGTGATGAGCACATCTCGTCACTTTGCACCAGGAGGTGGAAAGTATCACACAAACGTCACACAAAATGTCAAACGGAGCATCACTCCAGCACAGCCAGGCTACCAAACTTCCCGTGATGTGTGTGGGACGAAAGCTGTGCAAACAAGAACTTCCGCAATCCGACCGTTTCCTTCCACGCGTGAGGGAAGTAGACGACGGAAGGAAATGGAGACGTCCAATGTCCACGGCCAACAACCACGCGTGGACAACGCCAGGGCCAGTGGCTCCGGGGCCCTCTGGAAGGGTGGCTGCCCACGCACCCCGCTGGCTCCATCTCGGCCTGGTACGCTCCCCTCACTTCCAGGCTCATCTGAGAGCCTGAGTTTGGGCTTCGTTGCTACTAACAGGTTGGGCTTATGAAACATGTATCCGTGTGTCCACTAATTTCCCTGTGATCACAGGACCCTTCTCTTCCAAACCAGTTGTGCGTAGTCGGGACTGGGGAGGGAGGGAGTTGGAATCGCCAGCTGCCCCTGGCCAGGGGGTCCAGAGGTTTTGAGCATGAACTAACTTTTCTCAGAGCTCTGCCCTGCAGGCTGCGCACGCTGTGGGGTGAAGGGTCTCTGCCAGGGGACCCCGCCAACCACATCCCAGAGCGAGGCGCAGGCTTCCCCTGCAGACCAGGTTCCAGAGCTGCCCCCAGGCCTCCGCTGGGAATCCCCCCGAAGGCAGGCTGAGCTAGCCGAGAACACTAAAGGAGAAACTCCAGTCTGGCCCCCAGCCCGTCACCCTCCCTCAGCCATACGGAGGAGGCTCCCGGGCCGGCTCCTCGCAGTTTGGCAGGGGCCGCACGCGGTGGGGATGCGGAGTGCGGGGCCCAGAAAGAGCGGAACCTCCACCGTCGGCACAGCGCTGTGCGGGGGCAGCAGGGGCGCCTCCCTCTCCAGGCCTCCCCCGCCCCGCAGCCGGAACGCAGACCCCCGACCTGCCCGCGGACGGGCGACCCGCCGCCCGACTTGCCCCGCTCGCCTGCGAGCTCCTGGGCCAGGGCCCCGCCTCGCACTGCCCCGAGCCGGTCCTGGCGGGCGCGGCCGAGCAACTCCGGGGCTGCAGGTGGAGCCGGGAGCCCAGGCGCCCAGGCCGGAGGCTCGAGGCGGCGACAGGGGTAGGGCCGCGCGCGCTGTCGCCAGCAAGCCCCGCCCGCCCCGCCTCGCCCGGCCCCGGCAGGAAGGAGGGCTGCGTGGGGGCGCCGCGGCCGCGGGACCGCGCGGAGGAGTCTCGAGGGAGGGCGAGGGTCGTGGGGCGCGGAGGTGACACTGGCGGATGTCCCAGGCCCGCCCGGCACTCACAGTACACGAAGGCTAGGGCCTTCAGGAGCACGATCCGGGTCAGCCAGAAGGTGCCCGCGTGGAGGTGGGCCGGAGAGCCTGCGGGGTCACGCCCCGGCGCGGGCGGCGACTCAGGCTCCGGGTGCGAGTACCCGGTCTTCCGCCTCCTCAGCGACTCCTCGGGCGCCGCCATTGTTGGGCCGTCAGCGCGCATGTGCGGGGAGGGCGCACTCCCGGAGGCTCCGCCCATTGTCGGAGGACCCGCCTCTCCCAGGTCGGCCCTGCCCACGGTCGAAAGCCCCACCCACACTCCCGGAGGCCCCGCCCCCTCCAGCCGGCCCCGCCCACGCGCTGGAGCTGGTGCCCGGAGCCTGCTTCCCTCGCAGTCCTCGCTGGGCGCTGCTGCGGGTAGGGTGCGGGACCGGGTACCTGGGAGGTGGTGCGCGTCGCCCGACCCGAACTCACTGGGGCATGCACGCGTACCTTCCGTCAGTCCGCGTTGCAGAGGCCCAGGTGCCCTCCCCCAGCCAGGCGCCTTCCCTCCCAACACTTGTCCTGGGGAAGGTGGGCTGCAGAAACCCTGGCGGTACTGCCACAGCGTGCCCCTGCCTCACAGCTGACACTCACTCCCAGTATCCGCGGAGGGTGCTGGGCGATCGTCGCACCCAGAAAGGGACAGAGTAGGCAGGGCTGGGCCTGGAATGCTGGGGGGACCCTCCCTCCCCTTCCTCCCAGCCTTACGCCTTTGCACAGCCCAGCTCCTGCCAGCCCTTGGGACTGGACTTCAAGCTGTGGGGGAAGAGGGGAACTCAGGACTCAAGAGGGAAGGGCTAACTGCCCATTGCCCCAAACAGAACCTGAAGGAGGACGCCAGCAACTCTACATTCTGATGACTGGAGCGGGGTTCTGGGGGCTGATCCGAAATGGGTGCTGGGAGAGGCTGAGGTCACAGGCATTCCTTAGAGGAAAGAGAGGGCATGAGGCCAGAGTAGGCGTTGGAGACCTAGGGGTTATTGAATAAACTGTGGGGCACTTGGTAGCAAATCGTGGAAGTGCAGGTTTCTCCTTATTCATTCGTCAGAGCTCTTTACATATGAAAAATCGTTCTTTTGTGTATACTGGAAATATTTGTCCTGGCTTTCTGTTTTTGTTTTTGTTTTTACATATTCTTGTCTTTCGCCTCTCTAGTGTTCCTGGTGTTTTGGCATATAAATTATTGTCACTCGGATGGTCAAATGACCCATCTTTATAACTTGTTTAATTATATCTTCACCACCTGTAGTGTGACCCTTGTGAGGGCAGGGACTGACTGTGGACATCAGGTCCCCAAATCCAGGGCTGAGCAGCAGTGGCCAGAGCTTCTGCTCAGCCTCCAGCCTCCCTGCGTTGCTGGGGTCATAGCATACCTGTACATCTTAAGGTTTAATTCATTTTTAGTTTCCATTTCTTTTCTATGAAAACCCCTTTAGGAGCCCAGCTGTGCAATGGGACCCTGTAAAAGATGTTGCCATGGGTGCAAACACGCAAACATCCTCCACATGCTGGCCAAGCCTCCGGGAGCACGGCGTGTGCCTGAGGGTCTCAGAGCCTTGGGGATTGCAGGAGCCGTTGGCCCTGGCAGGCGCCCAGCACCCAGGTCCCTCTGCAGATCCCACCACCCGTACCTCTCCTCATGATCTGGGGGCCAGTTTAGGAAGGGCCAGTAGAGCTTACACTGTTCCCCTCCTCTGTGGGGAACAGGGAGCCCCACACCCTCGGGCTACGCCTGCAGAGCGGGCCCTGTCTGGATGCCAGGCCTGCTCGGGGACAGACGGCGAGAGGGACTGCCCTGTGTCAGGTGTGGCCCTGCGCTGTCCTCAGGTGGGGCTGCCGTCACAAGGAGCCTTTGTGCACAGCTTCCCCTCGCTGGGCCGAGCTGCTCTCCCTGCAAAGGGCACAATGGGGCATTGTGCAGAGCAGAAAAGGGCCTCTTGTTCCAGCTTCCAGCGCTCCGGGCTCCTGCTCTGCGTTTGCCCAGGGTGGGAGCAGTCAGTGGAACAGTCTGCTGGGAGCTCCTGTCCTCTCTGAGCTCAAGTTTCCCTCGGGGTCTGCTGTCTTGGGACGCTGACCACAGGGCTCCCATCCACTGCCTAGAATGGCTCCAGAGCAGGTCGCTAGGGGCAGGGCTTGGACCGAGGAGAGGTGGACCAGCAGCTCTGTTCATGCCCATTTCAGCCTGAATTTAATCAAAAGTGCCCTGGGTTATGATTCAGCCATAAAAAGGAGTCCAGGAGCCGGGTGCAGTGGCTCAAGCCTGTCATCCCAGCACTTTGGGAGGCCAAGACGAGTGGATCACCTGAGGTCAGGAGTTCAAGACCAGCCTGGTCAACATGGTGAAACCCCGCCTCTGCTAAAAATACAAAACAATTAGCCAGGCGTGGTGGCAGGCGGCTGTAATCCCAGCTACTTGGGAGGCTGTGACAGGAGAATCGCTTGAACCCGGGAGGTGGAGGTTGCAGTGAGCCGAGATTGAGCACTGCACTCCAGCCTGGGCCACAGAGCAAGACTCTGTCAATAGTAAAATAAAATAAAGTGGAATCCAGCTCTGACACATCCTACAACACAGATGAACCTCAGGACGTCACGCTCAGTGGGACAGGACAGACGCGGAGGTCACATGTTGTGTGAACCCATTTACACGAAATGTCCAGGGCGGGCAAAGCCACCGGGAAAGGAGGGAGCTCTGTGGTCCAGGTCTGGGGACGGGGAGTGGGGAGCGGGTGTTCCGTGGGTAGGACATTTCCTTTTGGGCTGATGAGAATGTTCTGGAACTAGGTGATGGCGGCCCAGCACTGCAAGGTGCTAAACACCACTGAGTCGTTCACCGGAAAGTGGCTTATTTCATGCTATGTGAATTTCACCTCGAATTTGAGAAAAGTAAAATGAGGCCGGGCACAGTGACTCACGCCTGTAATCCCAGCACTTTGGGAGGCTGAGGCGGGTGGATCACCTGAGGTCAGGAGATCAAGACCATCCTGGCTAACATGGTGAAACCCTGTCTCTACTAAAAATAGAAAAAAAAAAAAATTAGCCGGGCGTGGTGGCGGGCGCCTGTAGTCCCAGCTGCTCGGGAGGCTGAGGCAGGAGAATGGCGTGAACCCGGGAGGCGGAGCTTGCAGTGAACCGAGATCGCGCCACTGCACTCCAGCCTGGGCGACACAGCAAGAGACTCCATCTCAAAAAAAAAAAAAAAAGTAAAATGAAAACAAAAGAACGACAGACAGCCCTGCACTGGTGTTTCAGAATCGCCCGGAAGGCGCTGTCACCTGTCGGAATACATCGTATTATTTACACTTGCCTTACTTCTTCATCTGTATTAAGGAGCATCTAGCAGTTTTAAAATAACATTTAGATACAGGTGTGTCTTACTTCCTAAGAAGGCGCTTCACTTAAAAACAGAGGCTTCTCCGCAAACCCAGAGCAAGTTGCAGCAGCCAGGAAATCGGCCAGGTGGGGTCCTTCCACTCTGCAGCTCAGCGCCCGGCGGCCACGGGAACCCGGGCTCTGCCCTGAGCGCCTCACACCAACCCGAGGTGGGAGGAGGAGGAGGGCGTCCTGAGTTTGCCCTGTCAAGCAAAAACTAAGAAAAAAGCCAGGCTGACCCAGGAGAGGCCTGAGGGAGTGGAGATGAGGCTCGGCCACCCCAGGGCTGCCCGGTGCTGGGGGAGAAGAGGCTGAGAAGAGGAGGAGAGTGGGGAGGGAGGGAGGGAGGGGCTCCCCAAGAGCGCGCAGGCTGAAGACTGGGCTGTCTCCCCAGAGACCCACCGACAAGCCTGCCCTGGGTGGGACCCTGTCCCCACCATCCCAGCCTGCGCCAGCACGGCCCCTGGGACCCAGGCACACACAAGCCCTTGGCTGGCCACGCTCCCAGCAGCTGCGGGCCTGCTTCAGGGAGGAATGAGCCCCTGTCGGCACCTCGTCCAGCTGTCCCCCAGCACCCCGGCCTGGCAGCTCCTGCCGCATCAGGGCCATTGTCCCTGGCATGCAGTTGCAGCTGTCTCTGGCACCCACAGGAACCCAGCGTGGGCCCGAAGCTAATCGTGCACCCTTCATTTACCCCAATTTTTCATGTCCTGAAGTCTGTGTATGGAAGGGGAGCCCAGGACCCATTGATGCTAACGTCTGTCGCCGCCTTCTGGAAGGGTGGTCGGTTTGGGCAGATCCTGCCATGACTGTCCAGCGGCCAACCCCCCCCCCGCCACGTGAGGCTGGCAGGTGCGGGTGGGGGCTGAGAGAGCAGGTGTCGTACCATTTGCTGGTTGTCCTGGGACCATGACTCACAGACGGCTGTTCTGCTTGGCTCACCCTGTCCTCTCCCTGTATCCTCAGCTACAGGCCACGAGTGCTCCCACCCCTGCACCTCAGGAGACGCGGCTCCATGTGACCCTGCAAGCTGGCAAGCCATGGTTTCTAGGCAGAGCGGAAAGCACAGCACCCAATGTGGTGATGTTCTCTGGTTGCAGGGCCCTGTGTGAGGAAACAAATGTGTATTTTTTTTTTTTTTCTCTAGGAATCATATTCTGCACTGGAAGAAGTCTTGGAAGTTGCCTGGCCCAGAGGTCACAAACCAGAGCCCTGCGGGCTGAGCTCTACCCACAGTGCAGTTGTCTGTCAGTGTAGCGGTCACCAACGGCCACAGTAATGCTGCGTAACAAACAGCCTTGGAGCCCAGCGTTGTGTGTCACCCGGTGGTGCCACCCAAGCCCAGGCCACAAGAAAGGCAGGGCAAAGGCAGAGCTGGGCCTGTGCCCTCTGTCCTTTCTTTGGGCCTCTAGAGCAAAGCTTTGCTGAAGGCTTTCAACTGAGACCGCGGAGGAAACACATTCAGAAAAATAAATACTTGGGAGACAGCAGACATTTTTACAGGGTGTGTTTTAATTTGCCTTTGGCACTAATGGGTCTCTGGAACGTTCCATCCTGGCCGGGGAGGTCAGGACCTGAGCAGCCAGAGCCCATTTCGAGAAAGCAGGTTTTCCTTTGCAGCATGCTTATTTCAAGCACCATTTTCCCTCCCGGTTATACTTGAAATGGGGCTCGGTGTTGGGAGGTTTCAAACGTGGACATTCCGGGCAAGGAGCCTCATGAAATCTGAAGGTTGAGTGTGGAAGGACGGACACAGGTCTTGGCAGTCTAAGTGGGCACAAAGGCTGATTTTTCTGGAATCAGTCCTCTCCTGCTGATGGGCTGAGAGAGCCCCCCCAGGCCCCGTGTCCCTTCTCAGAGGACCTCGGCCCCCCTGGTGCCTGGGCCTGGGATGGGCTGGGGGCTGGGGCCCAGGGGAGCCAGGGCCTGGCATCCTACAAGGGCCCAAGGGCTGAAATGGGGCTGGGGTCCCTGGATCTAGGGGATGAGGGCCTAGAATGAGGCTGGGGTCTGGGGTTCAGTGGCGCGAGGACCAGGAATGGGGCTGCAATCTGTAGTCTGGGTGTCTGGTGTCAGATAGCACCCTCGTGTACAGGGCACAGAAACCCACATCTATACTGCAGGGTTAGGGACAGCATTTACTGCCACCAGTGAAAGTGTTGACTCCAAGTCACAGACACCACCCCTAGGCGTGGCCTCCCTCGGCAGGAGATGACGCCCGTAGGGAGGTCCTTGGTACTCACCTCTCCCTGGCTGCTTGGAGCCCCAGGGCTCCTGCCTGGGGATGTTTTAGGGCTGGAGAAGGACCCTCTGCCCACTGTCAGATGAGAAGTGCGGAGAGCAAATCGTGCTGTTGGCGCTCCCCCCACCCACCACTGAGAGGGGAGACGGATGGGCCCAGCCGGAAGCTTGGGGACCCACTCCCAGCCTGGAGTGACAGACGCTGAGCAGCAGGAGTCACAGCTGTTCCCGACACATCCGTGATCTGAGCGTGCACCTGTCGCTGGGGAGAGGGCAGCGCTGGTCTCCATGCTTTGAGCTAAGCATCGCCTGCTCCCCGAATCCTTTCCACGTGAGAACAGCCCGGGCAGGGGTCCTCAGCAGGCAGTAGCTACCCCCACCAGCGTGGGTTCACGGATCAGGAGGCTCCCAGAGTGTCGGGGGGGGGGCGGGAGGTGGAGATGGGGAGGGCTGGGCTGGAGACACTCGTCCTCTGTGGAGGCGGGGGGCGTCAGGAGGACCAGGAGGATGTCTGGGCTGCAGGTAGAAGTGAGCTGCAGCGGGGCCAGCTCTGGCCACAGAGGGCCCAGAAAGCACTGCTCCCGCAGGGTGCCAAGAAAGGCTCACCGAGTGGTTTTCCACTGCCCTGTGTGCGCCGGGAAGCTTAAGGCACAGACAAGGCCAGTTCTCAGGCAGACGCCACCCCGGCCAACAGGCCAGCCTTGACCCAAACCGGAACTCGTGTCCCAGCTGGCACTGTCAGTACCCGAGACAGTGAAGCACAGGGAGCTGCAACCCAGAGCTCCAAGTGTGCATGGCCAGGAAGCTGACTCCCGAAGGGGGTCTCAAGAGGGGTCCTGCGAACCCCTCCTCTCCCCTGGAGACCCATCCGGGGGTGGGGCCTTTCCCAGCCTCTGTTCACAGCCTGTGCCAGCCCAGCCTGTAGTCACTGTAGTCTCGCCAGACCAGCCGTCATTAAAAGCACCAATTAATCTCCCAGGCTGTGCCAGGACGCTGCCAACTGCCCCACGGGTGCTCGGGAGGCAGGGGCTGGGAGGCCCGGGCCAGGGCTGTGCACACACTGGCTGCCAGCGGGTTCACGCCCGCCGGTCCCTCCCTGTGCTTCTCACAGGCGGCACAAAAGACAGGCCGCTCGCCACAGGAGGAGGGACGGGTGGGAGGTGGATGGTGGGGGACAGGGGAGGATGGGCAGGGAGGGACGGAGGGGGACGGGGAGGACGGGCAGGGAGGGATAGGGGCCTCTCCAGGGTGGCATTTTCCTGGGCAGCCCTGCTTCCTCGGGCCCTGGGCCCACCACACACACCACACACATACCACACACCACACATGTACCCTGCACACACACACCACATGTATCATACACATACACACACACACACACACCACATGTATCATACACATACACACACACACATACACATGTATCATACACATGCACACCACACACCACACACCACACACACACCACACACCACACATACACATGTATCATACACATACCACACACACCACATGTATCATACACATACACACACACACCACCACTACACATACACATGTATCATACATATACTACACACACCACATGTATCATACACATACACACACACACCACATGTATCACACACATGCACACACACACATGTATCATAAGACATGCTTCTCACACACACATGTATCATACACATACCACACACACATGTATCATACACATACACACCACACACCGCACACCATACACACACACCCTGCACATGTATACCACACACATCACATACAGCAGACGCACCCCATACACAAATTATACATGTGCACACCACACACACCACACACCATACACACACACACCACACACCATACACACACACCCTTCACACATGCACCGCACATATCACACACATGCACATCACATATACCACACACTCCATACACGCATCATATGCATGCACACCACACACACAGCATACACCATATACACACCAGACGCACACCCCACACACATACATCATATACACCACACACATCACACACATGCACACCACACAGCACACACCATACACGCACCCATATGTCCCATACACATACCACACATTACATGCCACACACACACCACACATATAACCTCACACATACACCAAACACACATACACATGAACACATGCGCCTCCGGGGTCGCCATCCCTAGGAGCCACGGATGGGGTGGGGTCATCTCTCGTCTGGAAGCGTCCCCCAGGCCATCCCTGCCCCATCTCATGGGCAGTAGAGCCTGCCCACCCACATTCTTCTCTACAGCTGCCCTTGGCACCCTGGCCAGGGCATGCGGAGCTACAAATGTCTACACCAGCTCTCCATGCCCGGCACTCATGGCCAGGGGGCAGCCCTGGTCCAGGTTCCCCCGTCAGGTCCTCCCCTTGAAACTGCAAGGCCCACTAGCAGGTGGTGAGGTCAGGGTGGGCGGGGCCATGCAGGCAGGGCAGAGCCAGCCCCAGCCCGCTAGGGCAGGGATGGGAGACAGGGGAGGGGGGGGTAGGTCCCCCCTGGATGAGGACATGGGCCCATCAGGTGGACTCAGAGGTGGCTCCGATGGCTGCCCCTCCACCCCGGGTCCCTCTCTTATCATCAGACACTCTGTTCTAGCTTCCCCAGGGAACACGCTGGCCTCTCCCTGCAGGTCAGAAGCTTCAGGGCTCAGCTTAAAAGACACCAAAGATGCTTTACCAGACCATCCTTCCTGAAGTCCCCGCCTCTGGGAGGTGCTTTCGGGGCTACCTGCTGCCCGCCTCCCTCCACAAGGCCAGCGCCTATGGGACAGGGGCTGTGAGGGTGGTCCGGCTCCGCCCTGTGTGGGAAAGTGCCTGGCACACAGCAAGCGCTTAATTAATACCTGGCAACACTCAAACCACTTGACACCTCCCTCTCTGAAAGCCCAGTCCTGGCGTCCAGTCAGGCCTAGTGGCTCACACCTGCGGAGCACAAGGGCATTTTCCTGGGGACTTCAAGGTAGACCAGAGACGATTCTGGAAGGGAGGCTTCTGGGCGCCACCCTGTATGGGGACCCTCACCCACATATACTGCCCTCCCGGGAGTGCAGCAACACATCCTCAGCTGGCTGGCCTAGGTCCCCCCCTCCCACCGCAGCGACTCCCCACCTCCCCACCCCTCCCGTGGCAGCCTGCACGCCTGGCACCTCCCCTGGTGGTCTCTACAACCTGGGGAAAGGAGCAGGTGCTAGTGGAACCCAGGGCAGGGGCTCGGTTGCACAGACCACCGTGCCCCCGAATCAGGCCCTGGACGCGCCCCCACCTCTATCTCCCTTCCTCCAGGGGCGCTGGAGTCCCCCACCTCTGTCCCAGGGACTTGAAGCCTCCGTGGTGGGTGGGAAGCCGGGAAGAGGCGGCCCTGCCTGCTCACAGACCTAATGCAACTTTGCTTTTCTTTGGCAAAGAGGAGCTCTCCATGGAGGTCCTCACCCGGATAGCACTGTGAGCCCCAGTGGACGGTGTCTGCTCTCCCAGGGGCAGGAGGTGGAAGGTGGCACAGTTTGGGCCGGGCCTCCCACCCTCACTGCCTCCACTTAAACCCCCACTTCCGCCTGCCTGCATCCCAGGCCTAACAGATGAGTTCCGTGAGCGCCCCAGGCGATTCTCTGAGGGCCACAGAAGGATGCGGGACCCCGGGCGGAAGGCAGGGCCTCCAGAGGGAAGGTGCACTGCAGACGGTGGTGTGGGTCTTCCCAGGCAGGTGCCAGAGCCAAGGGAGACGGTGGGGCAGAGAAGAGAGGGCAGGCCAAGCTGGCAACCAGCTTCCCACCATACGATGCGCGGAGCCTCCCAGCGCGCAGTCCGCCTCCCCAAAGCTGCATCCTCTGACCTGGCCAAGGCGGGCTGCAGAGATGAGACCCCCCTCCCAGCAGGTGGCACGGCCCTGGCTCTTCAGCCCGGAGGTCAACCGTTCTTCCAAAGGCCTGGCCCCCTCAGCTCCGGGCCTGGCTTGGGTTGTTCCCAATGCAAAGCAACAGCGGCCCCGGGGTCTGCGGACGGGGAGCACCAGCTCTCGGCCAGGCCAGAGTCGGGGTAGGAGGCGAATCCTGCGCGGTCGGTGGCGGCCCCAGGTGGGTGCGGTGCGCGGGCATGAAGCGGCAGCACGACCCCCGACTTTGCATCTGGACTTTTCTGGTAACGGACCAGCTCCTTCTGCCGGCCAGGCCGGGGAGACCGCGTGGCTCAGGGGCTGCGGCGGCCACCGGCCCGGGCGTGGGCGCTTTAGGGGCACCGGGGCGGTCGGTCACCCGGGTTTCGCGGGCCGCAAGCTCGGAGACGCGCGTGTTCCGCGTTGGCTGCCTGACCCGAAATGGCGCAGCCCCGTCATCTCCAGCGCGCTGGTCGAAAGGATCCGAGCCACCCGCCGGGACGGCCGGGCCGAGGCCACCTAGCGGGGTCGGCCTTGGGAGGGGACCCGGAGCCGCGGCTGGGCGCTCGCCTCGGAGGGCAGTGTCCCCTCTCCGACCCCGCGGTCCCCACCAGGGCAGCACACCCCGCCCGCTCCCGCCTCCGCAGGCGCCCAGGGCTCGCAGGCTCGGAGCGGCCTCCGCCTCTGCCGGACCACCCAGGGCCGCCCCGCCGGAGAGGCCTCCCCGCCCCCGAGCCCTGGGTCACGTCCGGAAGGCCCGGGGCCCCCGCGTCCGGCCACGCCATCCGCCCGGCGGCCCCAGGGACTCAGCGCCGGGTTCAGCGCAGGCCCCGCCCAGCACTCCCGCCCCTCCAACTGCCCGGCCCCCGGGACCGCGCCCCCGCCCGCGCTCTCCACGCTCGCACCCGTATGGGGAGGGCGGCCCGGGGTCTCCCAGCTCCAAGCCGCGGCCCCTCGGCGCGCGTTACCTGGACGTGCGCTGCCCGCAGACTCTGGACGAGCTGGGCCCGGGCGTTGCGCGGCGGAACCGACCCTGTCCTGGACCGCAGGCAGCAGCTGACCCCGCGCCACCGGTCTGCGGGCGAGACCTCGGGTGCGAGACGGGCTGAGTGTGTGTGTGTGTGTGTGTGAGTGTGAGTGTGTGTGTGTGTTTGTCGGGGGAGGGGCCCGATGACCCGCTTCCTAGCTGAGCCTCGGGACAGGGGGCGGACTCCTGGGAACCGCGCGGCGCCCGCAGAGGAGAAGGAGCGCCGGAGACCGCCCCCCGGCCTCCCTGCCCTGCTTCCCTTCCCGGGGCTCCGGAGAGGGGAGCTCCAGGCGTGGGGCCCACGTGGTGCGGCGCCGGGCGGGGCGGGCGGGGGCGCGGCGAGAGCGGCGGAGCTTTCTTTATGGGTGGGGGGGCGGGGGCGGCCGGGCTCCGCCTCCGGGGGGGGATCGGGGCGCGCTCCGCCAATGGGCAGCCGGGCGCGGGGCGGGGCCGCGGGGCCGCCGCTTAAAGAAACTTGTTGCGGGTCCCGGAGCGGGAACCGAGCCTTGGCGGCGGCGGCAGCGGCGGCAGCAGGGGCGAGGGTCGGGGCTACCGCGCGGCGACCTCGGGTCCCGGAGCGGCCGCAGGGCAGCCCCGGGCGCCGGCCCCGGTGCGCGTCTCCGGTGCGCGTCCCTCCGCGCGCGGCCCCGATGCTGGACATGAGCGAAGCCCGCTCCCAGCCGCCCTGCAGCCCGTCCGGCACCGCCAGCTCCATGTCGCACGTGGAGGACTCGGACTCGGACGCACCACCGTCTCCCGCCGGCTCCGAGGGCCTGGGCCGCGCGGGGGGCGCGGTGGGGGGTGCCCGGGGCGACGCGGCGGAGGCGGCGGACGAGCGCTTCCCGGCCTGCATCCGCGACGCCGTGTCGCAGGTGCTCAAGGGCTACGACTGGAGCCTGGTGCCCATGCCGGTGCGCGGCGGCGGTGGCGGCGCGCTCAAAGCCAAGCCGCACGTGAAGCGGCCCATGAACGCTTTCATGGTGTGGGCGCAGGCGGCACGCCGCAAGCTGGCCGACCAGTACCCGCACCTGCACAATGCGGAGCTCAGCAAGACGCTGGGCAAGCTGTGGCGGTGAGTACCGGCGCCCCGGGGGCGGGGTTCGGGACCCTGGCGGCCCCTGGTCTCGGACTGTGAGCGGGGGCTGGAGGTGGCGGCCACACGCAGGCTCTGGGCTCTGCACCCAGGGCGGGTGTCAGGGCGGATCCCCGTGGAAAAACACTCTCTGGCCAGCCGGGGTCCAGCGCCAGGTATGGGAGTCGGGGTCCGCGGAGGGCAGCGCCTGGGGTATCCACCCTCGTGGCGGGTGCGCTCTGGAGCCAGTTCTCCTGGCGGGGAACATCCTGAGGAGGGCCGTGGCTGGCACCTCGAGGTACCCTCCAGCTGCTGCCAGTGGCCCCAGCCCCGGGAGGCCCACCCGGCACGAGCGCAAGCTGCATGCGGCTCTCTGGAGGTGCGCCCGCCTTAGAAAGGGCTCAGCTCCTCCGGCTCCTGGACCACCCATGGGAAGGGAGTGGGGCAGGCGTGTGGGTGGCATCAGGTTTGCCTGCGAGTACCTTCCCTGTAGCTTCTCCCTCTCCGGGCCACTCTCTGTCCGAAGCAAAGAGGGCAGGAGTGGAGATGATGGGATGCGGCCTGTGCACGCCTTGGCGTGGTGGAGCCGGTCAGTTTTCCAGACATTGGGACTGCAGTGTGAAGAACTTGTTGCTCAGGACAGGCAGTCCTCACCAAGTGTTGAGTTTAAAATGGTTCTCTTGGTTTGGGGCTCTGGTTCCTGTATCCTGCTCCTCACTTGGAAGATGGGAGCTTGGAGCTTGCGTATCTGCCCCTCCTGCCTTCTGTCTGTATCTAGGGTGCAGCCATGGGGCACTGTAGACTGCAGACCCCTGCTCCCCCAAGTCCTGCTGCACAGGCGGTTGGAGGTGAGCCTCGAAAGAGTCCCAGGGAATGTGTCCTGAGGCTCAGTGAGGACGGGCGCCTGGACCCTGCCAGGGCTTCTGGGTGTCTGGGAATGGAGGGACAGCAGCCCAGCTGCCCGCTGGAGGCCGGCACTGTTCCCGGGAAGCCTCGCTTTTGTCCACCGCCGGCTGGATCCTGCCCGCCTCCCCCGCCTCCCTTAGAAAGCCCCAGAGGGAGGGAACAGCAGGCCCGGAATAGGGGGAAGTAGAAGGAGGAAGGATGGGAGGTGTGGGCCTTGTTCTTTGGCTGTCATAAGCATACCAACCTCCCCAAACAGGCGCCGCGGGCTCCCGCCAGCCGGTTCTCCCAGAGGGGCTTGCTCCCTGGTGCCACGGGAGGCCCCGGAGCCTGCGGCAGGCGGGTTTCCGTGGTCAAAGCCTCCTGGCCGTGGCCTCTGCTGCCGGTCCCCCCATGGTGTGTGCCCACGCCGAGGGCACAGTGGGCGCCCTGGCCATCCCTGCCTCTGCCCTGTGCTGCAGCTTGCTGAGCGAGAGCGAGAAGCGGCCCTTCGTGGAGGAGGCAGAGCGGCTTCGCGTGCAGCACAAGAAGGACCACCCCGACTACAAGTACCAGCCACGGCGCAGGAAGAGCACGAAGGCCGGCCAGAGTGATTCGGACTCGGGTGCTGAGCTGGGACCCCACCCTGGCGGCGGTGCTGTGTACAAGACCGAAGCAGGGCTTGGAGATACGCACCACCACGGCGACCACACAGGTGGGCTCCAGGCCCCCGGCATATCTGAGGGTCCCTGGTGGGGGAGGCCACCGTGGGGTTTCTGGCTGAGATGGGTGCATGATGGTGGAGGGGGCAGGCGCCCTCGAGAAAACCAGGCCTTCCCCGGGTCCCCTGAAAAAGCTCCCAAGGCCCCAGCCACCTCTGTTTTTGGTGCGCGAGGGACCTGCTTAGCCGCCTCGAGTGCTGAGGGGCTGACAGCTTCGCTTGGCAGGGACCCCGAGAGGTGGTGTTTTTTGCAGCAGGACTTAGTCGAATGCGGGCTCCTCTTCCCACACCGAGCCGCTACCCACACGGCGCTCAGCAGCCCCGGCTTCAGGGCCAGACTGACAGGGTGGAGTCCTGCCGGGGCCTCGGTCAGGCTGGCTGACGCCCGCCAGCCTCAGAGTGCTTGGCTGGCCCTGGGAGGAACAGGGTCTGTGTGGTCCCTTAGCGCCCTGTAAACGCCAGCTCTGGCCAGGCTGGGCCTGTCGGCTTCTTCCCCCCACCTTGGTCTCTGGGAGGGGCCTCAGGTCTTCCCATAGCACAGCGCTTCATGGAATTTTCTCGGCCGAGGAGTGAGGTCTAGGTCTGACTTTGCTGGAATTTCTGGGAAATGTAAAGAAACAAAAAGCCGTTGATCCCCCCTGGCAGTTAGCGCGGGTGTCCCTCCCCTTCCAGCCTGGCCGGCCCCACCCGCCCCACAGAAGGGGCATTCATCCCTGAAGCCTGCTCTCCTGTCCCCAGGGCAGACCCACGGGCCGCCCACCCCACCCACCACCCCCAAGACGGAGTTGCAGCAGGCGGGCGCCAAGCCGGAGCTGAAGCTGGAGGGACGCCGGCCGGCGGACAGCGGGCGCCAGAACATCGACTTCAGCAACGTGGACATCTCGGAGCTCAGCAGCGAGGTCATGGGCACCATGGATGCCTTCGACGTCCACGAGTTCGACCAGTACCTGCCCCTGGGCGGCCCCGCCCCACCCGAGCCCGGCCAGGCCTATGGGGGCGCCTACTTCCACGCCGGGGCGTCCCCCGTGTGGGCCCACAAGGGTGCCCCATCAGCTTCTGCGTCGCCCACCGAGACAGGTCCCCCGCGGCCGCACATCAAGACGGAGCAGCCGAGCCCCGGCCACTACGGCGACCAGCCCCGAGGCTCGCCCGACTACGGTTCCTGCAGCGGCCAGGCCAGCGCTGCCCCGGCCGCCCCCGCCGGCCCCTTCACCGGCGCACAGGGCGACTACGGCGACCTGCAGGCCTCCAGCTACTACGGAGCCTACCCCGGCTACGCGCCCGGCCTCTACCAGTACCCCTGCTTCCACTCGCCGCGCCGGCCCTATGCCTCGCCCCTGCTCAACAGCCTGGCCCTGCCGCCCTCCCACAGCCCCACCAGTCACTGGGACCAGCCGGTGTACACCACCCTGACCAGGCCCTGAGGGCCCGGCTGCAGGGAGGGACTCGCCGGCGTTGGGGGGCAGCCTTGTCCCGGCCTGGCAGGGACGGCCTCCCAGTGTGCGTGGCCAGGGCAGGCGGGCCGCGGTGGCTGAGCTCCGTCAAGTGCCAGCTGAAGTGTGCAGGGAAATGTGCTTTTGCCTCCCGTGGCTCTCGGCCTCCAGATGGCCACACCTCCGCCAATGGACGAGCTCTCTCTCCCTTCTCTCTCTCTTTTTGAGGTGGCGGGATGATTCCGCAAAGAAGGGCCACCATTTGGTGCCTCTTCTGTGAGGACTGGCGGCAACACCACCTTCGGTTTGCATCTCGGTAGAGGAGAAACGGCAGCGCAGCCCAAGGACCAAAGGAGGGGGTGGCAGGGACCTTGCAGGGCGCTCTGAGGTCCAGGCCCTGAGGTCCAGGCTGGCCTCGGTGCTGAGAACCCCTGCACGCACGGCCTCATTCCCTCGACGACAGCTGCACGGGCTGTCCGGGATCCAGGGTGTCTGTCTGCAGACCCTCTGGGACGCGTCTGCTCCAGCATCTCCGCGACCCGCCTGTCAGATCTGAGGCGTCTCCTTGCTGGCAGAGTGCGCCCACGCAAGGTCTGGCTGGGATTAACACGTCTCTCTTTTATTTTTATGTTTTTGATAATTTTTATTTTTGAAGCTTAAATGTGTTTCTTTTGAAAGCTGTTAAAGATGTATTTATATTCTGTATTATTTTATCTTTAATTAATTAGGTAATTTGGGCAAAGAGTAGAATTTAAGAGAAAACAGAAGCTGGGAGGCTTCCCTTGAGGGCAGGCAGGAGGTGGGATTGCAGCTGTTGGCCGGCATCACATTGCTTAGCTTCTGGGAGGCCGCCCTGGAAGGCCCGGAGGTCCCAAGGTCCCTGGGAGGACTGGACCCCTCATGCCTCTAGCTTGGCAGCTGAAAACCCGAGGGAGGAGAAGGGACTTGCCTTGTGGCATCTCTGATCAGGTTAGGGTGCCCAGCACCCAGTATCAGTTTGGGGTTTAGGAAGCAGGACTCTGTCCCTGCCCACAACTGTGCCACGTGGTAGGACACAGGAATTCCTGGGTCCCTGCCCACGACTGTGCCACGTGGTAGGACACAGGACACAGGAATTCCTGGGAAGTGATAGCTTCAGAAGTGATCTTGGCTCGCAGGCACCAATGCCACGTACCAAGCTGTGAAACTAAACCTTCTCCACTAAACGTCGTTAGGGCCTTAGTTCTAGACGAGTAATACCTGATTTACCTGCACTGCTCCCCGTGTGCCGAGCACAGAGCATACGATAGCACCTACTTCACGCAAACTTGTGCCTTTAAACTTTGTAAATTTAAATACACCCGAGAAGTTGCTTCTTTTTACTTTTTCTACTTTTCCTACCTTTTTGTAGAAAAAAAAAAATAATAATGTCTCTGCTTCTATTTCTCTGGGAGTGGGGGCAGGGAGCCGCCGCAGACCTGTTTCATGCAGCGTCTCCCTCGGCACCGCGTTCGGAGGACGCACCCTCACTCGCCTGCTGCCTTCGCTGCTTTCTGACCAACGCTAACTTTTGTACAGATCGATTTGATAAAATTAAACAAAGTGCTTTTTATGGACGTGGGCCGCATTTTTTGTGTCGCTTTATGTGAGCCTGGGGCTCCTGGGGCGAAGGTGTCCCGCCGAGGCAGGATCAGGCCGTGCCACCCGTTCACACGGCTGCTGGCCTTACCCCAGTGCCCTCCACGCCGGGCGGCAAGGAGGGCAGCCGCAAGCCCACCCGGACCCCGAGCGGCAGGGGCAGCCCATCGTGCCACAAAGCGTCAACAGGCTTCAGTCGGAATGGAAACACCTGTGTCCTTCGCGGATCCTGTCGCGGCCTCTGGGAAGTGAACTCCTCGTCGTCTTTCCTGGAGGGCCTCCTTGGTAGGCAAAATGGGTCCAGATGGGCCCGATTCGGGGCTGTGTTTTTCCTCCCAGGCGAATCCCAGAGCTGGTTTCTGGGTGGCTGTGCAAGGCCGGGAAGCCGACGGCATCTTTCGGGCCTTGGCAGGGAGCCAGGCTGGGAGCGGATGAAAGCAGCCCCTGCAGGAGCTGGCAGAGCTGTCTGGTTGGAGGAAAGTTTCTAGGGAGAAAATGGCTGTGGGAGTGACAGCCAGTGAGGGGCAGCCGGTCCCTTTGCCAGGCCTCCCGGGCACCCGAGGCTGGTGTGGGGGCATCTCGGGGCTGGGGGCTGCCCCCGGAGTGCAGAGACCCAGCTTCTCAAGGCATCTCGGTCACAGGAACCCAAATTCGAGGATGCACTGCTCACAGGAACCCAGATTCGACAGGCAGCTGCATCTACGATTTTAACAGAGTGGCCTGAGTAGGGGGCCGCCCACCCCATTTCCTCGCCTGCCTGGCCGCCCTGCCCCTCACCCCACAGTGGGGATCCCGTTCCAGGACCTGCCAAGAGCAGTGGGGGAGGGGCTGTCCGGATTTATGACGGTTCCTGGGGGGTGGGGTGTGCCAAGCCCCGCAGGCGAGGAGGAGGCTGGGAGAGGGGTGCCGAGAGCCAGGTTCACAGACACCCATGGTCTCCGCAGAACCGGCCCAGCCCATCCTGTGTCCAGCCAAGGGCTGTCCAGGCCCACATGTCCCTCAAAGCTCACACATTGACACACCAGCTGGGGAGAACCCAGCGTCCGGCTAGCCGGCAAAGCCAGCTCTGCCCCTGGGCTGCCCTGGGACGCGCTTTGGGGCTTGCCAGGTTCCCAGGGCTGGGAGGCCCTGCCAGTTTTGTGTGAACTTGGCAGGGCTGCTGCAAGTTAACTCCTGGGGGCCCAGGCCCTGCGTCTCACTGGCGTGTGCCCTGGGGGAAGAAAACCTCGTGTCCTTGTCCTGGGTGCGCCTGGGTCCCAGGTGTGTTCCTGTGGGTTTTCCAGTATCTTGAGTTTTGTGAAGGTCAGGGAGTGCTACCCTGTCCTGGCGCGTCCACACCCTGCCCAGCTGAGGGGCGCATGGACACCTCCTCCCCCTGCACAGCACCACCCTTTGTCCCTGCCCCTCCCATCCCTCCTCTCCATGGGTCCCCGTCTGGCAGGGCTTATGGCTTCTGCCTTCGGCACTGGATGCTGGCCCTGGGAGTCTCCAGGTGCTGGTCCCCCTCCCCTCATGCTGCACGGAAGAGGCGGCCGGAGTGGGTGCCCCGGGGGTCGGGCCGCTCTGCCCTGGTCTCCGGCTGGTGGGGGTTTTGCTGAAGACGAGTCCTCCAAGAACGCCAGGCTGACAACGACGTTTCCAAGCTGGCATCGTCCCAAACCCGAGCTTCCCTGCGCCCAGTCCTCCCGAGTGCTGCGTCCCAGGGCAGGCCAGCCAGGACAGTTCCTCGTGTTCCACGTCCTCACCCTCCAGAGAGCCTTGCCTCTGATCTCAGCTGAATAGAAGGCCCTGTTCAGCCCCGAAAGGGGAAATGGCGTTGGTGATCCGCCCCGGATTCTGAGAGACTGGAAAAGCCCCTCTGGTCTTCCTGGGACAGAAGCGGCCTTAGGACCAGGTTATCGGGGTGGGTGTGAGTTCACAGCTGCGTGGCTGCTCCCTCCCAAGAGGGTCTGTGTCCTCCCAGCAGCTGCCTGGGAGGGGCCTGAGGTCCCACTTGCCCACCTGTCCTGGGCGGTGAGATTCAGGGACCCGCTCGGTATGCTGTGCTGTTGGGCCACAGCCAGGACCATCGAAAACCGGGTGTCATAGACCCGGGGTCCTGGCCTGCTGTCTGGACCCCAGTCTTGCCTACCCAGCCCAGGACGGAGGACCTTTCTTGACCCCATCTCTAGCTGCTCTGGACCTGCTGGGGCTGTGGCTGGAGGCCTGGGGGTCGTGCTTCCTGGTGGTGACGTCATGACCACCAGACTCCAGACAAGCCCTGGACACCTGTGTGGACGGCCGCTGTGTGGACGGCCGCTGTGTGGACGGCCGCAGGGCACATTCCACCAGGCTCACAGCAGAGCTGCGCCAGCAGGACCCAGTCTCAGGCAGCGAAGCCAGCACTTGGTTTGAATCCCTCAGGGACAGTGTAGACCCCAGATGGAGATGGGTGGCCCCCCAGCGACTCAGGCAAAGAAGCACCCCTAAGGAAAAGAGACGCAGCTCAGCACTGCCCCCAAGCTTCAGCCGGGCCCTTCCTGCAGGACCCAGGGCTGCACCCAAGCCTCAGCCTGGACCTTTCCTGCCGGACTGCAGGGGCTTCAGACAGGTGACGGAAGCCAGAGGCTCAGATCGCCTGCTGCCCAGGCCCTGCCAGCGATGACATGTGCTTCTCTCTCCTGGGACCAGAGGCCCCACCCCTGCTCCCCACAGCCTGGCTCTGCTGGCCCAGTCCTGAGGCCACTGCAGACAAGGGGGCTATGGCCTCCTGATTACTCACTGGCCCTCGGCTGCCTGGGAGCTGCAGGGACCCACCCGGGCCTACCACCTGGGAACCCCAATATTTCCAAGAGCTGGAGGAAGGGGAGGGGAGGGGAGGGAAGGGAAGGGAAGGGGGAGCTGGCTGTCCCTCCACCTCCCATCTGGCGTTCAGAGGCATCATCTAACGTCCCCGGCGTCCCCTCTCATTCTGGTGTCCCCTGTGTTCTAGAGAAAGCATAGACTGTGTCTCCAGGATGGGCTGTGGGAGCTGTGGAGCTCCCAGGGTGGCAGGAGCCCTCCGGGGAGAGGGTGGGCCGTCCTGGAGCAGAGCAGTGTGGGGCCAAGCCCTGTGTCTTCTGCTGCTGCTTTCCAGCTCTGGGGCAGATGGCCTCCTCCGGGGCCTGGGCTTCCTCACCGGCACGATGGGAATGACCCTGGAGCTCTGGGGAGCTTGGTGAGAACAGGGCCTTCCCCCAGCAGTGCCTCCAGGTGCCTGACGGGCCGTCGTGCTCTTGGTGGTATTACGACCACCTCGGGCCACGTGATGACCCTTTTGCTTATCTGCAAAATAAGGTGGGTTTGGCAGCAAGAAAATCAAAGTAAAACTGGCGAAGGAAGTGCCGGCCTCCTCCCCAGCCTCACAGCCCCGGGACTCAGACCCAGTGGGCGCCCCTCCTGCTGCCTCCTGCTGTGTCCGGGGCATCCACACAGCCACCCCACAGGAAGGCAGGATGGGCTGCTTGCCAGTTGACCTCCTATGCCTCAGTTTCCCCCGTGACCCCGAGGCGATGAGAGCTCTGCTGAGCTGCCCCGGGGATTAACTGAGCTGGGCTTGGTGTGGCTGTGGCCAGCACGCTGGTCCTACCCTTCTCGTTGGTCAAATCTCAAGCTGACTTGTCCCAGGACCCTGGGCCCTGTGTGTGGCAGACGCTCCTCCCCACCCTCCCCAGCCCCCGCCTTCCCCATGGGCCCAGGGCCAGGACTGGGGGACTTGCTCCAGCCAGGGGACCGTCCGGGATTCCCAGGTCCAGGCCCACTGAGGTCTGCCACGGACAATCATAGACGCCCAGGACCCCCTTCCTTGGCAGCGCCCAGACGGGCCCAGGCCGGGCTTCTCCCCCAGGGCAGCTGGCAGCTGCATAATTCCTGCTCCCCCAGGGCCCTGGCAAAGGCCGGGCACCCAGCCCAGGAGACTCCACAAAGGGTTAAGGGGCGCAGGCGGCTGTGCCCACAGTGGGGCGGGGCAGCAGGGTTGGTGCTGGGCCAGGAGCACGGGCGAAGGCGCTGCATTTTAATGAATCATTATTGCCGGTGAGGCCTTTGTCTTTCTTTATCCGGTGCACAATAAAAGAATTAATTAGACAGAAAATGGCAGGGCAAGGAACTGACAAGTCATTACGGGCTGCTGAATGACCGATGAGATGCAGCCGGGAGGCTCTGGCCGGCTCCGGAATGATAATGGCTGCTGGGTGCTTTGTATGCACGACCAGCAGGCTGCTGTGCCGGGCCCTGTGGCGCTGCTGTTGTGGCCGGCAGACCTGTGGTCCTGCCTCTCTGATCAGGGTGGGGAATGGGAATGCCGGACAAAATCCGAGTATGAATTTCTGGGTCCAGACACGGCAGTGAATGTTCGGACGTGGAGGGGACTTGGGCAGATTGTTCTGTCCTTTGGACCTGACTTCCCAGCGTGGGAGCGGACATGGTGGTGGGGTGTGGTGGGGGAGCTCTGCACACTGCAGGCAGCAGGGGTGTGGGGAAGAGAGGGAGAAGAGGCGAGGAGAGGGGAGGGGAGTCTCAAAGGACCTGGAGAAGCCCTCCCCGGAGCCAGGCTGGGCCAGCGTCAGCTGCTGCCACCATGGTGACTCAGACGTCATCGGGAAGAAGGGTCCCCCGAGCCCCCCCGCAGACCCGGTTCTCCCACTCAGAGGCTTCAAGCTCCTCGTGGGTCTGCAGACTTCCCTGTGATCAGGAAGCATCCAGAACAGAGCCGCCCAGCCGGGAGGGCGGAGGGAGAGGCTGGTGGAGGAACGTACCCGGGCTCCTGCTGCCTGGCTTCTGTGTGGGAGGCTCCCGTCCTGGCCCTGTGATCTGTGGCCCGGGAGCTGGATTCAGAAGCTGCCTGGAATCCTGGCTCTACAGCTGTCTGCTGCTGGAAGGAGCATTTGTTTCCCAAGCTGGGCTGTAGGGAGGGGAAAGGCCCCAGACAGGTTGGAAGATGGGCCTCTCCCACCCTAGA